GATTCGATAAATACCTTAAGTGCAGTTACAGGATAGAGTGCCTGGTGCGTCTAGTTCTATTGGGCCAGTTCTTGCTATCTGCACAAAAAAATACACGATCAAAAAATAATCTGGCTTTGCTTTTAGGAATAAATTCTTAAAATATTAGTAACAAAATTAAATATAAAATAAAATTTAAACCTGTATTTCATCAAATTTTATTTATTTATTTAATTTTGTGTGTGTGTGTGTGTGTGTGTGTGTGTGTGTGTGTGTGCACATGTGTTGGTATCCATGGAGGTCAGAAAAGGGCATTGGATCCCATGACAAAAATTGTATTTCTAGGGGCTGCAGTTAGGAGCACTGGCTCTCCTGCAGAGGACCTGGATTTGGTTCCTAGTACCCACATGGCTGCTAACAACCATCTGTAACTCAGTTTTGAGGGAAATCCAATTATTCCTTCTTCTGGCCTCCACAGGCATTGCACAAATATTGTGCACTTACATACATGCAGGCAAAATGCTCATACACATAAAATAAAGTTTTAAAGCTGTATTTCTAGTTGAAGAGTTAAAACTCATTCAAGGAAAAATTGGCGAATCTGATTTTCATGTTGTAGAAATGGGATTCTTATTCACTTCTGAAACATATTTATTGGCTACATTTTAATATTTGTCTCTTCCATACATAATGTGGAGTAAAAGATAAAATGAGCAGTCTCCTTACCTCCCATAAGCACACAAAGCCTTAATTCATACCCCTGCCCCTGCTTCAGGGACGCCTACAACAACTAATTTGTCCCAGAACCACCAGACTGACCACTAAAACATTTTTTCCAGTATGAAAAATAGTGACCTTTACTGCATAAAAATTGAGAAACACTGAAAAATGTAAAAAAATATAAATCATCAATAATCAATTACCTACAGATAGCCAATACTGCCCTTTCACACATTCTTTAAATTATTTCTGTATAAAAATTGAGAAACACTGAAAAATGTAAACAAAATATAAATCATCAATAACCAATTACCTACAGATAGCCAATACTGCCCTTTTACACATTCTTTAAATTATTTTTATGAATGTATATTTATATTTTCTTTTATAAAATTTAGGTCATGCTGTGTGTCTTTTTTCCTCCTTGATGTAAGATCAGAAAAATTTTATACTGTCATTAGATAGTCTCACAACATGGCTTAAATGAGGTGTAGAATATTTTTCAGTATACAAATGACTATAATTTACTAAAATTTTCTATGTCATTTTCTCTACTAAAGGTAGTGCTGCAGAGAATATCAAACACAGAACCTTATAACTGTCATGTTTTCTGTAAATGTTTTTAAAGGTGAAATTCTAAAGCTGGAAGCTATTCAGCAGTCTAAGGGGAAGTTTGTTATGGGTCATGCCTCCCTTTGCAGTTGCCGCTAGATGGAAACTTTCTCTCTGGTATTGCAACCTACATCATTTGATGCCTATAGACTTTAAGAATGAGTCAGACTTATCAACTTGGTAATAAGAAAATAGTCTAAATTTATTCTCACTTGCTGTACTTTTAAACACCAGAGTATACAGGAGAATGTTTCACAGAAGTTGCGAGGTATATGTGCCTGGCCAGTCTAATCCACCAAGTATCTCAAATGAAAGAGACAAAACTATACCTAATGGACCCCCTTCAACTGAGCTTGTTTTCTTCCTATGATCTCCAGACCAGTTCTATAAAGAGGGAAAGTCCTGTGTGTATATCAGTTTCTGTAAAGCTGACTGGTTTTATGTTCTCATGGGACAGGATCATTTTATTCTGGGATTCACAGAATGTTTCAATACCCTTCCCTCCTCCTCCCTACTGGCAGCATTGCCAGCCCTGCCTGGGGGAAGAGGACTGGGCTAGAGTCTTTCCTTTCTTCCTCACTAGGTGCTGGCATCATCTGTCGTCTTTGTGTAACCCATCCCCATGCTGCCCCTGGGAGGCAAGCCTGTGTACACTGGCCAGTCACTGTTCTCTGGTGCCAGGACACCTGGGTTAATATACTACTTTTCCTACACATCAAAGTTATGACTATGGGTAAATTGCATAACCCCAAACCAAACTCTGCCTTGATTTCACCATTCTTACAACGATGATCATGATAATGGTATAAAATTAGTAAATTTATTTAGATGTGTAACATGACAAAGCACATAAAGATCACGAAACAGTGCCTGCTGGGTAATAAATGCTTAATAGATGTCGGCATTAGCTTTAGAAAAAAAAGACCTCATTGTTGTTCTTTAAGATATACAATCTGAAAAAAAAAAAAAGAAATACAATCTGAAATTCACTTTATGCGTGTTAATCCTTGTATTCATGCATGAATTCATTCCTTCAACAAGCATTTGCACTGTGTTTAGTTCTAGAATAACAAAAAAATAACACACATAAAATAACAAGATTATACATGTAAAGTATTCAATAATGAATGTGGGTTTTGCAGAATTATAAAACAAGTATATCACAAAGTACGGCAGTGGCATAGATTTAGTAGAACTAAGATACTTTGCATCTTGGTGGATACTGTCTAGGCCCAGTATTTAAGAGGAGGTGTACATTGTGATTAAGTTGATGAATTTCAGTCCTGGGGAAGATCTGAGTGTTTGAGAAAGAAAGATTTTATTGAAGTACTATACTTATTTGCTGTAGTTTGGGGTTTGTAAGCCAATTTTTCAGATAAGTCCTGGGATGGGGGAGAGAGAAGGAACGGAAACAAGTGCTATCTGGGGGAATATTGCACGTAAGATGACGTGCTTTCTGAGAGCAGTGCAAAGGGAGGTGAGTGCAAACACTACACAGCACAGTAGCCATGTAATGTACTGGTATCCAGCTGCCTCCGAGCTAGTGGAAATTTACATGTTGGAGGAAGGAAATTGAATTCGGATGTAGCCTGTGTGCCAGTAGCTAAAGCCCAGCCAGTAGCTAAAATTGCTGATATTTTCCTATAGAGAATAAAAGGGAAAACGATCTTCTAATCTAGCACAGTGCGACATAATTGCATTCCATTAAAGCCTAGTTGTGAGATAACTATTCCTGGTCTGTAAGAGGGTAAGCTCTCTGGTTTCTTTAAGTAGAAATTACCTTCTGCTCTGCTGGCTTTTTTCCCCCCTTTCTTTCTTGGATTAAATTTGTTCTGTTGTCAGAAAAAGAAATAAAAATTTAAAATCTAGTTGTGAGATAACACTGAACAAAATAAATACAATTTAAAAATTTAATATCTGTGGATACATTTCTGAGAGGGATGTTCAGACAGATAAAAACCAATCTGGTCACAGACAAATGATTTATTGAATATTCTACTTCTATCACAATTCATGAAATATTTTCCAAATTCTATATTTGATTTTTGTGTTTAATGGTGATGGTAGCATCAAATGGGAAAAAGATTCTCTGGCACACTGAAGTAAATGACAGTAGAACTTTATCTTCATATTGATGTGGAGGTTGTCAATCAAGTATCTCATATTATTGTGAGGGTTTGCTCAAGTTTTAGGGCTTCCATAGTCCTGTGTTTCTGAGCTTTCTACATATCCTATCAATTGTTTTGACTGATGTTCTAATTGTTCTTGTTGAGGAGAACAGGATCTTCTGCCAAGTTAAGCAACACCCTCCTTTCCTGTCTCAGCTCTTGGAAAGACTTTATAGTAATTCCCCGAATCCTTTTGATTACAATAATTTTGATAGGAGAATTTGTATTTCTACTTTGCTATTCTTTTATTAGGTTTTAAATTAATTTATTCTTTGAGAATTTCATGAATGTACACAAAGTCTTATCATGCATTTCACGCATATACACATGAGCATATCTGTATGCCCATTTTCCCATCTCTAACTTCCCCTGGATTCCTTCCAACACACCCTCCTCCCAGCTTTCTGCCCTCTTGTTCACTTTTTTATGTTCACTACATAGATAAGAACTACAAGTTTCAAATTATTTTCTTCATCATTAGTCTCATTTTTACTGAAATCTTATTTTCCTACAACTACAATTATTAAGTCGTATAACGTCCCCAACAATTATTTGTTCATACTTTATCAAATAGTCTGTATTTAAAGTGATCACTTATGAATACCTACTCCGAGCTTAATTATTTACATGCATATCCTCATTATACTGTTCTACCATCTCCTGAAGGTTATCAGGCTTCAGGCAGTATGAGACAGGGATGAGGTTCAAACATTTGTAGGAGGATGCATGGGCTGGCACATTTCACAGTGTTGTGGTATTATAGTTGACTCTACTTTATCAAATAGTCTGTATTTAAAGTGATCACTTATGAATACCTACTCCAAGCTTAATTATTCACAGGCATATCCTCATTATACTGTTCTACCATCTCCTGAAGGTTATCAAGTTTCAGGCAGTATGAGTCAGGGATGAGGTTCAAACATTTGTAGAAGGATGCATGGGCTGGCACATTTCACAGTGTTGTGGTATTATAGTTGACTCCTTTCTGCCCCAGCTAAGGAAAAGGCATCTCACACCTTTAAACCCCTCAGCATCTCTCAGCAGCTGACTGCTGGTAGTGCTACATCTAGAGTTGAATAGTTATTGGTCACTGAATGACAGCCTAAGTTCAGTGTCTTCTGATCAGAATTTCATAACATTAGAATGAGGCAGAGGAATCCAAACATCTTTACTACCAATTACTCCCACGGTGGATGTGGTACGTATTGACTGAAATTGTCTGCCAAGCAGCAGTGAACTAATGGGAGAGAATGTAGACAAATAAGCAATTATAATAAAATATAAGTTCTAATTTATGGGGCGCATAGAAGTATTTTTAACATATTTGACAAAGAAAAACTAAAAATATATTTTAAGTCTCTCCCTGTGGTGTCTCAGTTTTCACTATAGATTTCTGTCACAAGCACTGATGGGTCACACAATGCAGTAGAGATATTATGTATTATACATAAATTACACATATAGACAAAACATATGAATATACTAAAGAAAGGGAAGAAACACATCAAGAAAAAGACAAAATGAGGAATCCAGTTTGGTTATAAACATAAATATTTAGAAGACAGTTTGACAGCATGACCATTTAACAAATGTGCTTGATA